CGTTCTGGGTCCAGGACAGACTCGCAGGACCTTCAGGAGAGAGCTCTGCAGCAGCAGGCCCCTCCCTCCACATCAGCCAAACATCCAGCTTGCCACGGTCCCGTGTTACGGCAAAATGCAAAAGCTCTTTATTAAAAAAGCAGAGCAAAACCCAATGGGAAAAATCACAAACACAAACCAACCCGTCCACACAGAAAGTTTCTTCTTCCCGGTGCCTGACAAAATACATACTGCATGTTTCCACACCAGTCAGTGCCCAAAGCCCCGCTGTCCACACGGAAACGGAGACCCTGCACAGTGCTCCGCCCCTGCAGAGCTGTTTCTGCGTGTAACAAACGCGGATCTCCTGCCCCTCGGAGCGGCAGGGTGAAAGAGCCCAAGAGCCCCACCAGCCACTGCTTCCAGGAGGTTTGAAAGCCCGGGTGGGGCAGAGCTGGTGCCTCCAGGAGCTTCAGGACCCCGTGAGCACAGCCAATGGCTCCCACCTACAGGGAAGGGTAAACGCTGCTGCCCGTCATTCATCCAGTTTCACTGAACAGCCCGGGGAATCAAAGCGCTTCAGGACCGCTGCCCGGGGAACACACGGCCCCCAGTGACACCAGGGTGTGCCAGCAGATTGGACACAGAAACTACTTCAAATGCCATCACAGTGCAGGGAAAGGGCTCCACGTCATGAACTAAGACCCACGAGCCTCTATCCCAGCCCTTGATGGTTGTTTCCTCCTCTCCTTTGTGTGGTCAGGAGCAAGGTTTCTGAAGAGCAAGAGCAATTTTCTGTGTCAGCAAGTCTTCGTGTCACCCCACCCTGACAAAACTGTCCCACTTAGAAAGAAGGGGCTGTACCTGAGTTGCTCACCCTCCGCCAGACATCAGGTATCTGCGCTCTTTAAGCCACACTCTCATTTCCTAGAACTGTTGGTTCCCAAGGGGGAGCCCTGCACATATGCCATGATGGCATTCTGCAAGAAACTTGCTCGCTGCGCCTCTTCTTCCCTCATCCTGGAGATGTCAGCCTCCTTCCTTCTCAGCTTCTCCAGCAGCACAGAGATTTCACCTTCTTTGTCCAGCAGTGCCTCGCGGTGATTACTTGACAGGGCTGTGAAAGAAGAGCTGTGTTAGTAAAGAAATTCAGGGTGCCCCCAGAACAAACAGGAACATGTTGCAGGCACAGCCAAACGATCGACAGGCAGACGAGAGAAGCTGCACGAGACAAAGCAAGGGGTTTGCACAGACAAGATGTTACACTTCACTGTGCAGGAAATCCAAACATTTTGCTTGCTGTGCAGCTCTGGATAGTTCTGTGAGTCTTGGTGTCTACAAAATGAGGACAAGCATCCCTGCAACTCGTGCTGTACGCACAGGCAGGAAGCACCGTGACCACCACCTGTAAGAGTAGCTCCGCTCCAGGCCCACTGCAGGGTAACTCAGCATGACCATTTGAGAAGCATGAAAGGATCCCTCACCTTTCAGCTGTCTCTCCAAGACAGCAATCTTCTCTCTCAGCCCATCCTGTGCTATGCATTCAGCCTGCAGGCGTCCAATCTGCTCCTGTAACTCCACCTTCACTTTATTCACCTCCATCACTTTCTCCTCTTCTTTAATGTTCAAGTCCTGACACACAAAGACAAATCCATGACCAACCAAACAATTTCAGCAGCTTGTTCTGCCCCTGTGGTGATCATATATTTACTCCAGTCCAAATTACCTGCTGAAGCTCCTCCAGCCGCCTTCTGAGCCCATCAGCATGTAGGCTCAGCTGATTGGCTGTGGCGTGGGCCTCCGCAACCATTTGTTTTTGCTTAAGGCAGCAGTTCTGAGCTTCATCCCGTGACTCTGTCATCAGCCGCAGCTTCTCTTCTAGGTGTTCTAGTCGTTGCTGCTGTAAGACAAAAAGGAAAATGAAAATACACCAGTCTCGGGATTCTCCCCTTTCTGTTCCCAACACAGTGAACCCCTGGTTGAGTCAACTGGCACTGAAGAACAAACACAGGACTCGGCCACAACAGATACGGCACTCCTGCCTTGCATCTGGGAGTGAATGTAAGCTGCTTTCAGCTGCCAGGGAAAACGTTTTGATAGAGATGCTGTGAAGCCCAGCTCACTCGCTGAGAAACAAGAGGCATGTCCTCGGTAGAAGCACCAACACCACCGTCAGCATTTATAACTAACTAATTCTCCATCTTCACCTCCTCCGCATCCCAAACAGCTCTGGAACACCACTGTGTGCAGCTGAACAACTGCTGTGTCCCACCACAGGCACACACGGCAGCTTTTATATTCCTGTAACTACGTAAAGCATTTTCTTTTGTGATATTACATGTAAGTAAATATTCTAATAGTTTTGGTGTATTTTTCTCATCCCTTGTTCTCTTTCACAGGGTGTTGACTGCATTGCTGTTTTCACACAGTTTAATTCTACAGTGATGTTTTTTATCCAACAGCAGGAGCCACCTGCTGAAATCCCTCTGAGTCCAGAGAAACAGGAGCAGCCCGTGAAAGCTGCTGTTACACAGAAGGATTGACATCTGGCTGTTAGCTTCAAAAGTTATCAACTTAAATTAAATCTTTTATGACAATATCCACATTAATCCTGTTGCTCCAAGAAAGCAGAGAGCAGGGGGGATAGTGGTTACCTTCTGGAGACAATTCAAAGCAGACTTTTGAGGACTCCCTCCTCAGAAATCACACTATTTGCAGGCCCGTGAAATCCAGAGAGGGGAGTTGCTCAGCAGTTCCCCGAGATAAAGACACAGAGGCAGGGCCCCTGTACAGACAGGTCCTGTCCTTACCTCCTCAAACCGTGCCTGATTCCGGGCTTTTATTAACTCCTCCTCCGCCTGGCCTCGCTCAGCGAGTGCAGCTGCTTTGACTTGGCTCAGATCCTGCCACAGAAACATGACAGATCATTCCAGAGAGAGAAGCTGCATCACTGCGACACGGACCAGAAAACATCAGCAGCTTCGAGTCACAGGCTACAGTGTGACACAGCTGTCTGACTCAGGGGCAGGGAAAACAAACCCAGATTACACACCTTTTCTCACCCCGAGATTGCCATCTAAATTCAGTGAAAATTTCAGATGTATGAGGGCAAATAATGGTTGAAGCTTTCAAAGATGGGGCAATAGGAGAGGGCACTGCTGGATCTAGCTGGGGGAACAGATAGGAAGTGTGCTACACTACTTGGGACCACAGGAGAAACCTGTGAAGTCAAATCCTGGTAACAATCTAACCACATTCAATGGAAACTTTACTTCTGTTCAATCAGAATCTACAAGTTTCTCCTTGGAACCTTCTCTTTCCTTAGTCCAAAACAGTAAAAATAATTTTAGGTGGTAAACTACTGTTTTCTGTTGTTCCCTACAGCAAATGACAATCTTTATAGGTCAGCAATGGAAAAGTCCACCAGGCTCCCCTAGCAGCCTTCTCCTGCCGTTGCCACCTGAGCATTCCATCAGGCCTGGAGCATCCATTCTCACCTCCTCCAGAGCTATCCTGACGGCCTCCAGCCTCTGGATCCTGTCCTGCATGGAACGTTCGCTGGCCTCCATGCGCTGTGTCCAATGATCCACCTGCATAGCAGCAGAATCCACTGAAGTGCCAGAAAACCAGTCCTACCTCCAGGCACAGCAGCGTGGCCATTCGGCATGAGAAAGAGCATCCTCCCTCTGACCCACCTACCACCAGAGAAAAAGTCTGACCTCCCTCAGAGCTCCGCTAGGAAACTGTGGCATAGACAGAATCTGGCCTCTAGAAACTGGGAACGTTAGACAGAAATCCCTTCCAGGCCAAGATGAAAGATACAAAGTCCAAGCTCTCATCCTCAAGGTGCATGAAACACCACAGATTCATTTTCTGGCTGTAATGCGGCTAAAAATCTTCCTGGCCTATGTCTTACGAGATTTCAAAATCTTCAAATAAATCTACTGGTGTAACTCATTTTTTGAGATATTTCACACCTCAATAAACACTCCAAAGAGAGCTGATAACAGCCTCTTGTCCTGTCCACACTCAGACAAAATCCCTCTTGAAACATAAGGAAGGAACTAGCAAGCTGAGCCCCATTAAAGGACTGGTTGTACAGAGCACATATGTCTGCATTTCCTCCATCAATGCATCTTTATTTCAGTGAGCACGACCAGACTGCTTATTCATAATTACCTCTGTGCACAGCAAGACGGACACACGGACCAGCCTCCTCTTTTGTAGAATCACGTACCACTCTGGCCCATACTCTTGCAAGCTACAAGGTCTTACTAGCTGGGTAGAATGTCTTATCGTTTCTTCAGCTAGGCTTTGCTTGTAGAAATGGCCTATTATTCCCACAGTAAGTCCAAGCCCACTAATTTTTAACCTTGTTTAAGAGCAGCTGACAGCAACGACCTCCAGTGACGCCTGTACGTCAGGACCAAAGAGAGCCTAACCTCGGGATGCTGCAGAAAACCCATTCTTACCTCTTTTACCCGAAGGGATTCCATGTCTTCAAGGCTTTGTTTAAATCTTCTCTTCTCCGTTTCCAGGCGTTCTGCAGATTAAAA